CACGTGTCTGACTGTTCCATGGGGATCAGACCTGCTCCTCGGCACAGAGGGAAAGGGCTGGACCACATCACCCTAAGGACCATGCACTGCTGGTAACGGCATCAGCCCGTCTCCTCACGTGTTTTTGCCTGTGTCTTTGGCTCGTTTGGTCCAGCACAAGGTCTTGAAGATGACAAGGGTCTTCTGAAGCTTTGCTTTAAGGTGAAGAACTCATCTGAGTTTTAAAATAAAAATGTCTACATGATATGTAACCACAAATAAAGAGTAAAAATGTTTCAGAATAAAAATATCAATGTATTGTGTAAGACCATCTCCTACAGAAATTTTCTCTCAGGAAATTTTTCTATGAAGTATTGGCACCAGGCTTGCCGGCACGCAGATGTATCCCCACGCTGGCACAGGGGAGAATTAGTAATGGTGGATTTACGCTTGACTTTGACATTTTGCAGCTAGCTTTTCATGTCCCGCTACCACCTGTAGCACTAACAAGTGCAACCAGAGCGCAAGCCAGACACATCGTAAAGCAAGTAAAATATACGGACAGACATCCAAATTCTTAGTAAGCCATAGCGTATGTTGACACACAGGTAAATGTGACGGGCACAACAAAGGCACCCCTGCACCAAACGCTCCACAGAAATACTTGTCCATTCAAGGTGTGCAGACAGAACATTGATGTATAGACTGAGGCTATAGATGAGGTGCAAAGCAAGAAATAATCATCAGCTTGTGTGGAGATGACCCAGGAGGGACAGCTGCATCTCAGCTGCTTCCACCTTGTCCGACTTCATCCTGCGGTTACCTGGTACAGGTGCTTGCTGAACGAAAGTGCTATGGTCAATTTTCATCTATTCCTATGCGAGAAAGGAGTCCACACTTAAACCACTGCATAATACACACCTAAGTTTCCCCACTAGCATGCATGGCTTTCATGTATCTGTGAAAGAACCAGACAAAAAATACCAAGGATACATATCAGGCAATCAGTAAGGAGCCACTGGAAAAAAGTGGAGGGGAAAAAAAAAAAAAAGAAGAGTAAGGAAATTAAAAGATATGATATTTGCCTCCCAGTATTTTCCAGTTTTGCACATCACAACATAAACATTTTTCAGACAGCAGCATGGAAGGGTTTTCTTGTTCAGGGGTTTCTCCTGAAAGGAGGGAGATGGATGGATGTCTGGGAACAGGATGAGCTTGCTGGAAGAAAGTGATATTAGGTCCTGCTGCATACCAGCCCAAGGCAAGCAAGGTTCATTAAGATTCAAATAAGAATTTTTTTCTTCTTATTTGAAAGTTTTATCTAACAATTGATTTAACTATAAAAAATAGATTCATTGTCCATGGTAAAAGAAAATGTTTACACTTGTGGTTTGAATTTTCTGTTACTTGTGAAAACTAGAACATACCCTGTAACCGTGCTATACAAAGATTTAGCCGAAACAAACAATTGCTGGTTAACTGTCATTGAGATTTAGGACAGAGATCAAAGACTGCTGTCACAGTTCTAATGTATTGACTTGGGTTAATTTTTTTTCGATTTTGTCCACCTGATTCCTGACATCCCAGTTGAAGTCATCGTATTTCAAAAGTTGCTGAATGACTTCAGATTCTATCGAGTCAGTGGACTCTAATTTTAGATGCTCTGCACTCAAGTAGGCGAGTGCTTGGTTGCACGTGAGCAGTCTAAATGACCTGAAAGGAGCTGCTCATGTAAATAAAGTTACATATGTCCCTTACTATTCACCGGATCAGAGCACAGGTTTCAAAAGCTTTGACTCAACTTTTTTGTTCCTGCTCTTGGCTCCTGAACTTAATGATTAAATAAGAAAAACAAACAACGGATAGCTTAGTTTAACTCCTAAGAACTTTTTATTCCATTTGAATGAACCAATACATTCCTTTGTGAAATGGGAAGCAACAGTTATTATTGTACATTTTGATGTGCCCTCTATTCTAATGTGGCAGCAGAGAAGTTTGCAAAATTTTTCTGCCTTGTGGTAGTCAATTGAAGACTCATTTACTCTGTGACTGATGTTTCTGCAAAAATCTCAGAGTGAAGGTAATAACTCTATCTGATATTTCGTACAACTTTATGTTTTATCTCTCTACTGCTATCTCATTTGGCGTTCTAGCATACATCAGTTGAAGTAAACAGTGATCTTGACATTAGCTTCAGAAGCAATGGTACTAACGGTACATGACATGAACAGTATAAAAGTGAAACACTTCTTTGCACGTACCTCTAGCCCACTAGTTTTCTGGGACATTTTATTAGTACTAGCACATATCCAAGAGATCACTGGAAAGTCATCTTGTGGGCTAACAAGTAGAATGCGAAACTTTGTCTGGATATGAAGAAGTTTGTTGACTGTTACTTTAGGTCTTACTTTCATCATCCCATCGGAAACTACAGCAATATCCTGCCTACAGTCTTACCGGTACAAGTCTGTCAATATCTGAGTGCAAGATCTGCTCCAGGGCATGTTTTTTTATATCTTGGAACACCAAATACATTTTCTTATTGTTATTTAGAGTAATTACAACAGTAAAAATCAGGTATAAGACTTGGAAGCCTTTTAAGGACCCTTGCTTCCCAACATCTGGCTCAAAAAGAAAGACGATACAGCAGCTGAGGATATTAAATGTAAGAAGAACTAAGGTCACTGACTGCACAGTTGATGTAGAGAAAAAAAAAAATAAATCAGAGAGGACAGGTTCAGCAAAAAAAAATTGAAAAGAATCAGAGATGGTAGGACAGTACGTTTAGCCTGGGATTAAGCCTCCCCTGTTTTCCATGAATGCTATATTTAATTACCATTTGATTATTCATTGTGGTCAAAACCACGCACTGGATGAAATCTGGACCGAGGAGCTGCAGGCGAGCACATCCCCATCCGAGTCCCCAGCAGCTGCCCCACGCTGCCTGCTTGCCGTGCCGATCCTCGAGCGGAGGAATTGCCTTTGGAAGTGCTGAGCTGATTGCAGACGACCTTGGCATGATTCCTGGCCCCGGTAGAAAACCCAGCACCTGGTGGGCACAGCCTTCGTCGACTGCGGGTACCACAGCATGGTGCTGCCCCGGTTGAGCCCTGGACCCCCGGCACCATGCAGCGGGGCCGCACACCGACAACCACACACGCTGCGGCTACACCAGCCTTTCTCCCTCTTCTCTACAAGCTAAGGAGGTGTGTGGGTATCACTTCTGATGAGGGTCTCTAGGCAGCAGAGTGCCTCAAATAATAACAGCATTAAGAGTGTTAGCATTGCAATAGGCAGCCTGTCTCGGCAATCACCTCTGTAACCCACCAGCGGGTTTTTTTCCTAAAAAGAGCACAGCCTATACCAAAAGCAAGTGTCTCAGCCCTCTCGAAGGTCTGCTGTGCTGACACCCTGCAAACCCTCGGGTCTGCGAGTTTGGAGGCATTCCTCTTTCTCCTGCGCTGCTTCGGTTTTTAGTTTGTTCTTCAGTGATATTCCTGTCTGGCTAGTTGCAAACAAGATTTGTGTTATCTTCTTTTGTATTAAAAATACTTAAAAAAAATACTTCTATGCTTTCCATCTTTCCATCTGTTTTTTGCCTCAGGAGAACAGGAAAACAGAAATTGCTTCTCGAGACCAGCCAGTGCATACACAAAACTTGGAAACGCTCTCGCTGGTCTCTGCACAATCCAGGATAGTCAAGGGAATAAACTGAGACTATGAGCATAAACTCTCACTCTCTTGTTGGATGTCCGAATGCTACTAGACTCACTGGACCAAATATTTGCACTATTATGTCCAAAGAAACACCTGCTTTCTACTAAGATATACTGATATTACGTGGAGAACAATATAGTTCAACTTGTTGTCTACATTTGAAAGTCAGAGACTGAAAGGGAGGATGTGGAGAACATGGGAAAACGAATAACGAAAGGAAGAACGCAGTTAGGGATAAAATGCGAGGAGGGTCTTGTGAGCCTGAGCCATAACGTGAAGCTTAGATAAAATAAGCACAATCAGTAACCACAGACACCGATGTAGTGCAGATCCTGTAGCAAACCCCAGAGTACTGTGGAGTTTTCCCCCCGAGGTGATGTTTTACCTGCTCTGAAGGCCTCTGGTAAGTGACCTGTAGGAGAAGACATCCACCGGGTCATTTTAGAGGAGGAGAGGAGAAGAATCTCCTCTGAAGAGACAAGTGATATATAACAGCCAAGGCTTTATTTTTATCAATGACTTGTCAAGCCAGCTGTGAACGTTCACCCTTTTAATCAGAGACTCATTAGGATCCATACATATTTAATCAAGACTAACTCTGAAGGTGCTCTGAATGCTTCTACAGGTAGTAGTCTATGTTTTAGCATACAGCACCTTGCATTTTGACATTCAGGTGGTTGTACTAATGCTGAGGTAAAATCCAGACTTCTAGCACTAAACTTTAAAAGCAAGCAGTCACTTCCCACTTACACCATCAGTTTCTTAATTTACATTTAGCAAGCTGCCTATGTAAAAACCAAAGCCAATGCTGAAAATAATTTGATTAAAAGATAATTCAGATCTCTAGCCATCTGTGTTATCGCTGGGGCTGGTGAGGGCTGTCGTCTCCTGGTGCTTCCCATCACCATCCAGAAGAGAGCTGCCAAATCAGGAATGCTCTTTCCTGCACAGGTAGCAGAAACGTTCAGCAGCTGCCCCTGCTCTCGCTCAGTTTGTCTTCTGCTGGCACCTCCATCTGTGGTTACAAACCAGGGCCCCGTGAAGCAGGCGGCCGATTCGACCGATGTCACTCGATCGTGCTGCCAGATCTTACGCTGCTCATTTCCTGCGGCATAATCTGAAAGAAAGCCTGTTTCCATGACCGAGCTGGTCTGGACAAAGATAAATCTGAAGGCTGCCTAGTGACTACTGTATAAACATACAAAAAGTCTGATGATCTAACCTGCAAGGCTTTGGTTATTTGGTATAATGAAGTGGAGAAGAAGCCAAGAAAATAATTACCGGAAAGTTTTCTGTTGAAAAACTTACGATAGAAATTTCTCAACAGCTTCAAGGAACTCCATGGATGAGCTAAGCCCTTCCAAGTCCAGCAGATTGCCCTTTTTGTCATGGAAGTGGAATAATTCAGTCTCTTCCTCTTCCAGTTCCTCTCGAAATAGGTTGGTCTCTGAGGTAGGAATGATGATGATGCGAGGGACTGTATTGCTAATGACAGAGCCCAGGACTCCATTAACTTGACTTTCTTGAGTTGCCATCGGTGAAGTACCCAAGTCTTCTCCTCTACCGACACTGCTGCTATTCAAACCGACCGGCAGAGAAGCGGCTCTTAGGGAGCTGGTCACGAGTGTTGCGGGGGGACTGTGTAGGACTGGCTGCCCAAGCACCTTCTCCAAACAGCTGGAGGAGAGCAAAACCTGGAATGGAGACGTAAGCTTTAGTGCGGTCGTACCGCATATGACTGTGGAAACCAGTATTTGAAAGAGTCGTAACCACTGGTTGCTATTTGACTCACCAGTCGTGTTTTCTAAACACTTGAATTATTGACTAGAAAGAGGGAAAATCATGATGTGTTAACATCTACAGCTTGGAAAGCAGGATGTTAAATGAAGCAAAAGAAGACATGCTGAAATATCAGCACAGACCAAAAAGAAAAAAAAGAAGAAAAGAAAAGCCCATTCCTTTATCTGACTTGTTTTATATTTTAAAAAAATATTTCTCCATTTTTAACACATCTCAAGGTACTGGATAATTGTACTTCTCTCTTTCTCATGGAAGAGATCTCAGATAAGACTCAAGCACCCTGTATTCTTTATTTGCCTAAAGTTTCATCCTCCTACTGACAATCTCCATCATGGTGTCCCCAAACGGCTCCTGGTACTGCCTGGGGGCAGTCAGTGGCTTTGCATTCCTACACTGGACAGTACTTCCACCAACAGAGAAGGGACAAACAACATCTGTGATTTTGCTTTGCTAACCATTTCCCATCTCTCTATTTTGAGAGAACTCTAATTTCTAACTCGGCCTGATGGCAACTCCCCTGTGACCTTTCCATAACTCTTCGGGCACAGTACGCCTATCCAGAGTAAACTAAGTAAGCTCTGAAAGTGTTCGTTGGTCTTTAAATACACTGGCAACGGAAGGCCTGAGGGATCAATTTTGGCTTGCTTTAGAAAATGACAGTTAAGGTTATAAAAGCACTGTGCCAGATATACAGAGAAGTTAGAAGTCCTTCCTTCCTGGGGAAAAGCAACATTAAAAGTAAAATACAGTTTTTACTTCATTACTATGTGAATTCCTATGAAGCCTAATGGCATTCAGAGTACAAATAAGCTTTACTTGGATTGCTATAAAGCCTCTTTCAGAGTTATAATTCTATGTATTTCTCTTAATATGGTTGTAAAGCATATTAATTAGCTCCACTGAGTCTCTCCCATAGCTTGAGCTTCCCATAATACTTTTGTAAAATTTTTCCTCTGTTGCAGATATTCCTGTTCTAGTTACAAACCTCATTAATTCAACTTTCATCTTTTTGAAGCATTCAGGCATGTAATTCCCATGGATTTATAGGGATTTGGTGCTGAAACATCTTTTAAAAATGTTAGATCAGTGTCTAGCATGATTACAGCAGGGGCTGTAATCTTGGCTCCCTTGGCTCCACCAGGTCCATGGCCTGTGATACTGCCTTTCTACTGACAAACTAAATGATTCCTTAAATCAGAAAGGGAAGGCATTTTTCTTTGCTTTGTTTCGATTTTTGGGTTTTATTTTTTAAGATTAGTGGTCATCATGTCAGTCCTACCAAGTAGTTTGGCAGAATGTGTTATTGCATAGCATAGGTCTAGTCTGATTTTACAGACAAAACACCACACAACGCATTTGTTTTTCACACAAATTTAGTTTTTAAAAAATGAGTTCAGAATTTTCAGTGTCTCTCTCCCCCCCCCCCCCCCCCCCTTTCTCTGCTCTCTTATTGAGTATTATGCAAA